AAAAAAAAAAAGAAAAGAAAAGATACAGAAGATGTGGTCCATACATACGATGTGATATGACTCAGCCATAAAGAAGGCTGAAATCTTGCCACTTCCAAAACGTGACAGACGTAGTAGGTATGATGCCAAGTGCAATAAGTCAGCCAGAGAAAGACAAATGCCATATACTTTCACTCATATGTGGAATCTTAAAAACAAAACAAACTAATAAACAAAACAGAAACAGACTCTGGCACGGAGAACAAACTTGATTAACAGAGCAGGAGGGGCTGGGGGACAGAAAGGAAGCGGAAGCGATTAAGAGGTACAAACCCCGGGGCGCCTGGCTGGCTCATTCACAAGAGCACGCAACTCGATCTCAGGCTCGTGAGTTCAAGCCCCATGTTGCATGTAGAGATTACTTAAATAAATAAGCAAACTTTAAAAAACAGAGGTACAGACTTCTAGTTATAAAACAAATAAGTCAAGGAGATGTAATGTACAACATAGGAAATATAGTTGATAATATTGGAATAACAGGGTGGTGATAGATGACAACTAGACTTATCACAGGGATCATTTCATAATGCATAAAAATATGGAATCACTATGATGTACACTTGAAATTAACAAGATATTGTCAAGTCAATTATATGTCATTTAGGGGAAAAAAGGATGAAGGAAAATATTTCTAGGTTCCTTGGGACAGGCCAAGAATACAGAAACAAAAATATTTCCTTTAAACAGAATACACCACTGGTATTATGTCCCTTTCACAAAGGTAGATTATGGATTTCTGTGTTTCAAGGTAGTTACATAAACATATTGGAAAGAACTCCATGACGAGCCAGTTGTATTAAAGATTTTCGTGGAATGCACGAGGAGAGACCTGTCACACCCAGAGGTAAATGTAGAGGACGGCAGTGCAGGCCACTCTGTGCAAAGTCTGTCCCCCAGCGCAAAGCAGCAAACCTCAGTCCTAAGACAGAAGTGATTTGGAGGAAGTAAGCATGACACCACAAGTCCTTTCCTAAGTTTTCTTTCCCTCTCCCCCTTCACACAGACCCGCCTGTTGCCACAGATGCTCTGGGAGACACAAAGTGGGGGACAGTAGCTAAGTTTGGGGATGAACATCACAGCACCTCATGCACAGCATAGGGCATGGGAGAGTCCCGGTTTCACCCCAGTCCCGCTCGTCCGACCCCTGTCTGACACGGTAAAGGTGGGACTTGACGCTCCATACATTTGGGGAACCCTAGCCGAAAGTGAGCAGTACCTTGGGCCAGTGTCAGACTGTGGCCTCACAGATACAAGGACTCAGGACAGTGCCTTCAGGCTCCAGGGACAGTGGTCCCACAGCCCAGGATGAGCACTGCCTCCCGGGAGAGGGGAGGGCCCTAACTGGTAACAGCCTGCTGCAGGGTGTAAGGAGAAGCCCACAGCCCCACTGTTTTGTGTGTGTGTTCAGTAAGAAGTGGATAGGGAAGAGGCCACCAGCACAACCAGACTGTCCCCGGTCTCCATCCCCACCACCAGCCCAGGCAGCCCAGCCCACACCCCTGCCGGCGTGGAGGCAGTGCCGGTGGGCCCAGTAGCAGGGGTGCCCAGGAAAGCGGTCCTCACCGCGCCATCGCCAGCAAGGACTAAACCCAGATACTCACTACAAATCTGCTATTCACTTTTTCTAGAATTCTCTTTTCGTTGAGAGCCATGGCTTCACCTTTCCTCCTTTTTATTCTTTTTTTCTCTAGCTTCTTACATGCATACATCTTTCCTGTAGCTCGCACTTGACAGGCACAAACCTAGTTTTTAAAAAAGTGGAAAAAAGGTTTCTACACACCTGCCACCTCTTAGGCTGCCGCCACCACCACTACCACCAGCAACCAAACCCCGTTTCTCCAGGATCAGCCCCACGGGTGAAGAGTCACAAGGTGCTAGTGGACTGGATAGGGGAGGAGGGGGTCACGCTCTGCCTGCTGCTCACAGGTGACACAGCATGATGGGTCAGCCAGGGTCTCCCTGGGGTCCTTCAGTCCTTGCACAAGGCTACAGTGTTCAAAACTAAACTGATTCCTCTTTCTTTTAAAAAGTTTAAGAATATAAGAAAAGATATTGCATAGAATTCATAAACTTTCATGCTTAGTTATTAAAATACTATTTACACATCACTTACCTTCCCACTAGGAAAGAATGTCCAAAATCACAGAAGTGGAGATAGGGCTATAATGAGCTCCCAAGTAGCTATCCCATAGTTTCTGGGCTGTCAACATGGGGCTACCTTGTTTCCTTTGACTCCCATCCACTGCCCGAGCACCCATACACACAGATACACACACCACACACCTACAGACACCTGCCACACACATACCACACAAACACTCACCACACGCACCTCAGACATACCCACCGCGCACACACACACGCACACACTCCCCACACACACTTACCGCATACCACAGGCATGTACGCACCTCACACACATAACACATGTATATACCACACATACACAGATACAGTCTCCTTATAAGCAAACATGAAACATGTATCATTTTAATCCATCAATAACATGATCTTGATAAAATGTAAAGTTCATTGTGGAAAATACTGGAAGTACTAGTAAGAACAATGATAAAACTCACTGGAATTCCAAGCTAACCGTGTAGCCATGTGAGTCCTCCTGAATTTTGGGTGGGGAACCTGACCTTATATTATAGAATAGAAAATATTTTATAATCTCCTGTTTTCATCTTACAGTGTGACTGTTTTCTCATCATTAAAGTTCTCCCAATATCTGACTTCTCCAAAATTTATTTACTCATTTTCTCACCATTAAGTCTTGGCACATTAATCTTGGTATATCTCTTTATCACAGATTCTTTTTTTTTTTTTTAAGATTTTATTTATTTGACAGACAGAGATCACAAGTAGGCAGAGAGGCAGGCAGAGAGAGGAGGAAGCAGGCCCCCCGCTGAGCAGAGAGTCCGACTTGGGGTTTGATCCCAGGACCCTGGGATCATGACCTGAGCTGAAGGCAGAGGCTTTAACCCACTGAGCCACCCAGGCACCCCTATCACAGATTCTTTTAAGTGGAATTGCCAAGTCAAAGAAAGAGAAGGGAAAAGAAGTAAGAAGGCCGGACACCGTACTCTCATCTGGACACGAAGACCCATTTGCTGCTCCACCAGCCAGGGCAGCAGGGATCGTGTCCCTGTCATGAGGAGGAGGAAATGGGGAGGCTGCAGTCACACAGCAGGAAGTAAGCCCAGCTGCTGCCCACGAGTCCTCTCCACGGCTCTGTGCTGCCTCTGCGGCCATGCACGCAGAGACACCACCAACTCTCTACCCTCGGTGCTGCCGCAGGACCCCACAAATCTATTCTGGGGGACTTGAAGCCTATGGGAAAGCACTGTGGTCAATAAAGTAAGACCAAAATGTTTGTCCTTGCAAACCCGCTGGAAGAGGTGTTAGCATTTGGAAAAAGTAAATCCACCACTGGAAAGGCATTGAGGCTGTCTGCATTAGGGTCATGGGGCTTCCTCTGACAGGGACACACAATGGAAATGGACTATTTGCTCCCCCACAGACTCAGTGTAACAAATGGCACGTCCAGAACAGGTCTGTGAAAAACCAGAACTATGTATCCATCTGTACAATCTTCTGTGTGGAAATACAAGTAAATGTGTTAAAAAAATAATCTATAAATATAAATATACCAAGTCTTTCACAACAGTTAAAATTTGCTAACCCGTTACTACTACGTCCATGGCTAAAACCTCCACGTGGCTCTAACTAGAGCTACATTCTTTTGTAAACACAAGAGCTCAGACCATCCTCTGTTCTTGGACAGAATCTGAGTTCCACACTCGGACATCACAAAAGGCAGACTAGCACGAATTAAAAAGCACGAGTAAATTGTCTGCTTGAGGAGGTATCAAGCAGAGGATGCATTTCTTACAGAATCTCTGGCCTGGAACGGTTACAGCAAGCGTGTAGACGGCTCACTGGAAATGCTCCAACAGGTCTCCAGAACTGTGTCTCAGGCACAACACCGCTCTTCTTCCCCTGAGGTAATGTGACATGAGCCGATGTCTTGCCACAGCCTAGCCCGGATGGAGGACAGGCCTCCCTTGTGGGATGAGGCCTCTTAGGTCTGCTGCCTAATGCACGTTGAGGGATCTCTGAGGCTTTGGTTTAGGTCTTCCCTGGGAATTTGGGAGCATGGGTGATTTCAGTCATAAGCCGGCAGTTTAACTTGCTTCTGACCACACATGCAGCTTCGGTTCCCAGCGGCTGTCCCAGCTCTGGGGAGTTACAAATGCTGGAACTGAATATGAGCACTCCAGATAATGAATGAGGCAATTAACACCTCTTTTAATGACCTAACCAGAACTGTGTGTGATTCTTTGTCCACGCTGCACAACAGTCTCTATCTAGGAGGGCCATCATACTGGATCATCTACCAACCAACCATCTACCACCAACTACCTAAATAGTTTTCTTAACATTTTCCTAAATTTACACATTTTCTAGTATCTTTTGATATAGGTATGGAAGCACATACATGTCCACATAGAGTTGAGATCAATAAGCACATTCAATAATGTACTCTGTACTACATCAGCTTTTAGGCTAGTTTTAAATTACGGAAATAGAGCAACAGAAATTCAACAATCAAAAGAAATGAAATCTTGCCATTTGCAATGACGTGGATGGAACTAGAGGGTGTTATGCTGAGCAAAATAAGCCATCAGAGAAAGACAATTATCATATGATCTCCCCGAAATGAGGAATTTGAGAGGCAAAGTGGGGGGTTTGGGGGGTAGGGAAGGAAAAAATGAAACAAGATGGGATCAGGAGGGAGACAAATTCATAAGACACTCTTAATCTCACAAAACAAACTGAGGGTAGCCAGGGGAGGGGGTGTAAAGAGGGTGGTTGGGTTATGGACACTGCGGAGCATATGTGATATGGTGAGTTCTGTGAAGCGTGTAAGCCTGATGATTCACAAACCTATACCCTTGGGGCATATAATACATTATATGTTAATTTAAAAAATTAAAAAAAAAAGAAATTCGGCAATATGGAAAGAAACATCTTTTCCATCAAGACAAACTGAGCTTGAATGTCAAATAATCGGATGCAGGGAAATAACTTTTTAAGAAACATACAGTGAAAGAAAAAAATCACAAAGATGGTGATTTTTTTCTTTCCAGATCTCTGAATCTTCTAAAAGCAGGTAGCAAAGTACTTTTGTTTGAAGTTTCAATCTTAATTCTTGTGATTGGCTAAATCATTCCCAAAATACACAGTAAGGAAATAAAGGTATTGGTAAAGCTGACACATTCATGTCTCTCAAGTACCTTGCTGTTTTACTTTTCTAGAAGTATTGCTTATAGCTAGTCCCGTATTACTTACCTCACCAAATCCGCCTTTTCCTAGAACTCTGTAATGTCTAAATGTGTCCTTTGTTACTGGTTGCCTAATTAATTAAAAAAAAAAAAAGCTTCAGCTTCAGGTGTCACATCACAATGTTATTTTAAAGCCAAAAGCCAACCTAGTTCCTGTCCTGGCCTTCCTTATGACACTGTGCTGTTCAAAGGGAGTGTCTGAAGCAAGGGTTCCCTCGGGTGGGACTCCTTCCATTACATTAAGAGAACTAAGCAGGGGCACCTGGGTGGCTCAGTGGGTTAAAGCCTCTGCCTTCGGCTCAGGTCATGATCTCAGGGTCCTGGGATCAAGGCCTGCATCAGGCTCTCTGCTCAGCAGGGAGCCTGCTTCCCTTCCCCTCTCTCTGCCTGCCTCTCTATCTCCTCTGTTTTCAGGGACCTGATGCTCACGAAGGTCAAGTCCCTTGACTGAGTCTATGCGGCTAGTCCTGCAAGACCGAACAAGTGCACTTCAGGTTCTATTTCTGTGAATCTAGGATATGTTTTATTTTCTAACTACTGTGTCCATAGGGCTGACTGTCATTTTAAAAGGAGAGAAAAGAGTCAACTAAATCAGAAGAAATTATATAACACATATTAATAATTTCTGTGCAATACCATATCCAACCCAAGATTTCCAATATTATCTTGAGAGATGGAAAAGTATACATTAATCAGTATATATTGTGAGAAGTTACTACTTGCTTTTGTTGAATTTTAAATCAGAACATACCTTTCCAACCATTTCCACTGTAGAAATCGAGAAAAATATGAGCTTTCTTTGTATGCTTCAAATGGTTCTCCACTTAAGTAGTTATGGACAATTCTAGAAAAAGATTTTATGTAATTATATACATTTATTGCATTACAATATGAAAATAACTGTGTTTCAGAATATTCATCAACACCGGGTATGGGAAGTCAATCATTTTACATAATTAAATACATCAAATTCTGCAATTATAGAATTCCACACTCATTTCTGATGTTATCAGTAAAAATATGAAGGCAAGAATTCAAAAGAAATGAAATTGTTTACCCTCCCAAAGTCAAAGTTTCTTTTTATATATATGTATTCAAGGTGTGTGTGTGTGTGTGTGTGTGTGTGTGTGCGCACACATGCATCCAAGCACCTGTGTTTCAGTAGGGATAGTAAACATTTGGTATGTAAGATTAGAATGAGTATCTAAATGATTATAATAGTCATATTGTAGAAAATGTTAATATGTGACAGTACCTTTTTTTAACATTGAGACTAAAGTACCCAATGAATTATGTTTTTATTTTTTTTTTAAGATTTTATTTATTTGACAGAGAGCGATCACAAGTAGACGGAGAGGCAGGCAGAGAAGGGAAGCAGGCTCCCCACTGAGCAGAAAGCCTGTTGTGGGACTCGATCCCAGGACCCTGAGATCATGATCTGAGCCGAAGGCAGAGGCTTTAACCCACTGAGCCACCCAGGCACCCTCCAATGAACTATTTTATGCTATATATTTCCAGAAGAAATTTTAACAATTAGCCATGCTCCTAAAGTTTATTTAGAATTTTATAAAATTTATACAATTTTATATTATTACAAAATGTATATAATTTTATATTATTATTATTGTATTATATACAAATATTATTTCATATCTATTACAAAAGTAATACAATTCTTATCTGTAGAGTAGGTAAGGGACAGAATGTAGTTTATTATTTAAAACAGTTCATTAGGGGCGCCTGGGTGGCTCAGTGCCTGGCGTGCCCAGAACACCTACCCTGAGAGAGGATATACTCGGGACACTTTGGTGAAGGTGATGTCTGAGTTGAATAGAAGTCACCCAGATGAAGGAAGAAGGAAAGGATCTCCCAAGCATGGACAAAAACCCAAATGGGTAAAGATCATAGTTTTCATGGGGAGCGGCTACTAGACCAGTATCTCAAGAGACTTGGGAATAATTCCAGCATTTTTACTGACTGTTAGAATTCTTAGCAAGCCACTTGATTTTACTTTATTTTGTTAAAGGAGGTTATTAAAAAATTCTTGGCCTAACTAATATTATAGCACAGTGATCCTCAAAGCGTGTTCTAAGGATTCCTATGGATTTGGGGGGTGGGGTTAACAATGTAACTATATTTGTAATCATGCTAAGACATCATGTGCCTTTAAAAACCAAAAACCTCGTTTTCACAGAGGGGTTTTCCAGAAGCACAAGACATGTGACATCATTGCTCTGATGGCTAGTGGAAGGTTTGTGTCTTCTTTTTAAAAATGTAAGCCAAGGGGCGCCTGGGTGGCTCAGTGGGTTGAGGCATCTGCCTTCGGCTCGGGTCGTGATCCCGGGGTCCTGGGATCGAGCCCCGCATCGGGCTCTCTGCTCTGCGGGGAGCCTGCTTCCTCCTCTCTCTCTCTCTGTCTGCCTCTCTGTCTACTTGTGATCTCTGTCTGTCGGGTAAATAAATAAATCTTAAAAAAAAAAAAAAATGTAAGCCAAGGGGCGCCTGGGTGGTTCAGTGGTTTAAGCCGCTGCCTTCGGCTCAGGTCATGATCTCAGGGTCCTGGGATCGAGTCCCACATCGGGCTCTCTGCTCAGCAGGGAGCCTGCTTCCCTCCCTCTCTCTGCCTGCCTCTCTGTCTACTTGTGATCTCTCTCTGTCAAATAAATAAATAAAATCTTTAAAAAAATTAAAAAAAAATAAATAAAAAATAAAAATGTAAGCCAAAGGGGTGCCTGGGTGACTCTTTGGGTTAAGTCTCTGCCTTTGGCTCAGGTCCTGGTCTCAGGGTCCTGGGATCGAGTCCCACATTGGGCTCTCTGCACAGCAGGGAGCCCGATGTAGGGCTTGATCCCAGGACCCCAGGACCAAGACCTGAGCCGAGGGCAGAGGCCTTAACCCACTGAGCCACCCAGGCGCCCCTGCACACACCTTTTTAAAAAGATTTTATTTATTTATTTGTTTGTTTGAGAGAGAGAGAGGGACAAGCAGACAGTGCTGAGCCCCATCCTGAGGCTCCCCACTAAGGCAGCTGTGCTGCCTCTCACTACAGCTTCTTTCGGAAAACAGCAGGGAGTCTAAAGGAAAACACTTATGTTCATTATAGGGCATCAGTACTCTGGAATCCAAAGTGAGGAAGAAGGCTTTCGGGGCAAGGAAGGTTTACAATACGGAAATGAGCCAGAACAGCAGGGAACTCTGTAAGTCCTCGTTCCTGCAGCAGATCCGTGCTAAGGTCCCTGTTAGCCAGAGCCTGGCAAAGCAGTTGGCCAGTGACAGGCACTGAGTAAGAATATAAGGAATAAACCGCCATCAGTCAGGTGAGCTAATCAAAACAGACTGAGGACTAAGAACTAAATCTTATTTAAATATGAGTGACTTTTAAGTCCCTATCTTGAAGTGGATACACAGAGAAAGAGCCAGACCTGTGGGCAGTCTGACACGGTCGTGTATACCACCCCGTTCTTGAACAACAGGATGGAATTGGAAAAGTGCCTAATCAGAAGGTTAAAAATACGAACAGATTTGGTAAACAGACGTATCAGTGAAGAACCTAAGGCTAGACGTAAAAAGAGAAATCAGGAAACCAGCTTGCAAGTGCTAGGAAGTGAAATGTCGTCCACACTAGAGAGCTGGATCCCAGCGACAGCACAGGAAGCCGTGTGCGGACACAAAGCCCAGACCTAGGGGCGGGAAGGGACCCTTCTGCCCTGCGGCCTGGCCAGCCCTCTAAGCAGCGTGACTTCCCCCGCACGACCTCAGGGGCTTGCAGACATCAGTCTTTGTTACTCATGGTGTGTACTTTCCACAGCTGAAAGTGAGATGTGTGTATTCCCTGGCACGTGGGTGCCTGGCTTTCGGAATGGTGAGTCACGATGATGTGTGCTGCGGACTGAGTGTGTGTCCCCCCAGAAGTCCTAGGTTGAAACCTAAACCCCAGGGTGATGGTATTTGTAAGGTGGAGCCTCTCTGAATGGATTTAGATTTGGGCTCTTATGAAAGAGACCCCAGAGAGCTCCCTGGCCCCTCCTGCCACATGAGGCCACAGAATGCTGAAGAGAGGCCTCCCCAGAGCTGGACCATGCTGGCGCCCTGGCCACGGGCTTCCAGCCTGCAGGGCTATGGGAGACAGATGCCTCCCTGTCTGTGGTATCTGCTACAGCAGCCAGACAGACTGAAACAATGTGCTTCTGGCAGTGACCTTGAAAAGGCCAATGACAGATGGCCTGCCTTGCCCCAGTGAAGCTGCTCCTGGAGGAGGTCCTGCTCTGCTGCCTGTGAGTATGTCAGCACAGGGGACTGTCTCCAGCCTGTGGCTGTCCCCTTCCATCCTACTCCTGTCTCTAGGGTGTCTTCCAGGGGTTGGGCCAGACCCTCAGCCCAGGATGGCTTCACTGAGGCTCTGCCCTACTCCCGTCATCCTCAGGAAACATGGACGGGGCAGTGCTGCCACACACTGCCTACGAAGAGGCACAGCCACGCGGAAATGACTGACGATGACCTGAGATGTGGCACAGGGGCGACCTGGCTGCTGGCACCCTGTCTCAGAGCACAGGGTACATACCCTCCACTCCACAGCTGCTGATCTGTACACCAGGGAGACACACGCCTCTGAAACAAGATGCAGTTCTTTGTTAATTCTAAATCACAAAGGAATACTCTGGGCGGCACAGAGTGACTGATCACAACCATGTGTTCTTCCAGCTGCCGATGCCCACTGTTGTGCACAGGAGGGGAGAAACTAAGGTGTTGGAGCCAGACAGGCCTACGCCCACACCGTGGATGTGCCCCACACAGGTGCCCCCCCCTAGGAGACACCACCACAAGGGCCTATGGGATCTGGCGCTCTTCCCCGTGTCTACAAACTAACACCAACATCCGAGAGGGCAAAATCACAGTATCTGAAGTGACTACTTAGGAATTCTTAGATTTTTTTCTAGCAGTTTCTGCAAAATGAAAATGGAACCAAAAAGTGGGATCTTAGCAAAAGTGGCATGCAAACCAGGTTGGTGACGGCCCTTCTCGGGGAATGCATCCATGGGTGGATGTTGGCTGCTCTGTCCTCAAGCAGCCTGCCTCCCACCAGCTGAAAGGTCTGGGGCAGGTTACCAAACCTCTCTGGCCTCCATCCCCCAAGCTGCCGAATTAAGGATAACAGGCATGGCCACTTCCTGGTCACTAGGAGGAGTAACTCAGTTCCTAAGCCTCCCTGTCCATTGTTACCATGGCAGGTCTCTCACCGCACAGGTACAGGAAGGAGCTCAGGACGTGTGCACACCAGGGAGAGGACTTGGAAGAGCAAAGGCATGCGCTCAAAGATTGGCCCCTTCCAGTTTCGCAAATGGCTCAAGTGAAGCCAAGGAGAATTCTGATTCTTTTATTTTTTATCATCTTTTTTTTAACTATAAGTCCAGTATAGTTAATGTATTTACTTCTCACGACGAAACCCCAGGACTACAGTCATCGGAGACCCGAGGCCATGCCTGTCTGCTCTACCAGAGAAGCGGTCAAACAAGCAACGCCTTCTCGCAAAGGAGGCCCATGGCACAAACCTTAATATTCCATTCATGGGAATACCCAACAAGAACCAGTAAAAGTTGACTGGAGATTACCAGCCTCAGAGAACAGCCCATCTTGTCCATTTTCAGAGAAGGAGGCTGCTGGCAGCCAGAGAGGAGGGCTCTAGTCCAATACCGCCCAACTGCCCAGTAGAAAGACAGGTTAAAACCATTTATCTAGGGCGTATGGAGCTGGTCATTTGACATCCTCACTAAGGGAATGAGCATCTTGCCCATGCTACAGCTAGCTCCAGACACTCCCGGTGCACAGGCCAGGTGAGCCATTCCCTGCCACAAGTGAGCTGCATGAAGACAGGAATTGTCTGTAGTGTTTGCCCATCATCCCAAGCTCTTAGGACAGTGCTTAGCACATAACGGGCCCTCAGGATTACTTGTTCAATGAATGAATGAATTCAAATCTCTGTGTCCTAGTGTCCTGAAACATCAAGATCAGACCATGTGCTTAAGACCTCCTTGGGCATTAAATATAAACAGGAAAGAGCTTTAAAAGTACTAGCGTATGAGTCAAAATGTAATTCCTGCTCTTGGTCCCTAAATGGGCCTCTCTCCCCATGCACCGCAGCTACTACAAACACCTCTGTTTTCCCAAAGCCTCCCACCCTATCCCTGTCCCCGCTGGACCCCGCCCTTGGGCTCTTCAGAACAGGGATGTGACCTCTTGTGCCACTGTCACTCTGTCTGGCATCTGTCCCCTCCCTCCCCCAGTGCAGTTCCAGCTTGGGGCCCTGTACTGGAGGGAGGGGACAGAACCAGGCAGTAGGAGCAGAGGGATGCAGAGGGGGAGAAGTAGGGGGGGCTGTGCCTATCTGCTCTCAGTGCACTCCTCTCTTCAATCCCCACTCTGTGCATATGCCCAGGTCTTGCCTCCACCCCCACGGCCTTGGTCACATCTGCACGGGGGCTATGACCCCAGATCCTGCCTCCTGTTCCTCTCCAGGAACACCCCAGTTGCAGCTGCTGACGTCTCAGCTCTGCTTGATGTCCAGAAAAGAACTCAAATTCAAATGTGTCCCCAAAGAAACTGTATTGTCCTCCCTAGCCCAGCAGCCTCACAGATTTCTCTGAAATCCAATCATCTGTCTCCATGATGACTGTCACTAGGCAGGCCGCCATCACCTGAACAACTGCCACAGTGAAATGGGTCACTCTAATTGCTCTCCCTGGCTCCCTGGGCCTCCATTCCTCTTCTGTCAAATGAGGGTTAACCTCCAGAAGGTCATGTGAGGACTCCTGTGTGAACACTTGCCAAGTGACAGAAAGGGCACCTGGGAATAAGGACCAGGGAGAGGGAACCATAAGGACCCTCTCCCTGGCCCTCTTGGGGTGAAGCAGCAGCAATCCTTGACCAGCCCCTCCCCCTGCAGGTCTCTGTGCTCCCTGGCCTCCTCCTCAGCCTGCAGGGAAAGGTCTTGTGAAGGCTCTTCTCAGGGCCCCAGGTTAGGAGACGTGCCCTCAAAACTCCCTCCCTAGCAACTTACTCAGTGCCTACGGTAGGCTGAATAATCAATGACGCAAACATACGCAGGTCCCCATTCCTGGAGCCTGTGACTATCACCCTTCCTGGCAACAGAGATTCTGCAGATGACTGAGTTAAGGGGCCTGAGATGGGAAAACGATCCTGGATTATCTGAGTGGGCCCTAAATGCCATCACATGTCACTGTAAGAGGGAGGCCAAGGGAGATGTGGACGTATAGAGTAAAAAAAGGCTTCCAAAAGTCAGAAGCAGAGAGAAAGTTGAGGACACTGTATGGCTGGTTCTGAAGGTGGAGTAAGGGGCCACGAGCCAAGTAACGCACTCCTAGAAGCCAGAAAAAAACACAAGAAAATGGATTCTCCCCTAGATCCTCAATGGAGCAAGGACCTGCAGACAACGTGATTTCTGTCCAGCGATACTGCTTTCAGACTTCTGACCTCCAGAACTGAAAGAACATAGATGTGTGTTGTCTTAGGTCATCAAGTCTGTGGCAATCTGTTATGGCCCCAATAGGAAACTGACACAGATTTCTCTGTCATTCCACTTGGGTATAAGCTCCCTAGAAGTAGAGAATCAACTCATCCTTGCTTATCATTTTACTCCTGGAAACTAAATCAATGACAGCACAAAATAGGTGCTTAATATTTTCTGAAAAAGTAACAATAAGCTGAGGCTCTGCAATTCCTATTTTAAGGCCCGTAGGAACGAAAACTCAGTCCGCAATGTTTTATTTTGTTCTCTAGCATAACCTCGACCCAAAGAAGCAAACTATTATGACTTGAAATGCTTCTTTCAAACAGATATGTTGAGTCCTAACCCTAGTGTCTGAATATTGGCCTTACTTGGAATAAGGGTCTTTGCAAATACCATGAGTTAAGATGAGGTCATACTGGAGTGGGGTTGGCCCTGATCCAATGGGAATGGTGCTCTTCTAAGAAGAGGAGAGAACACAAGGACAAAGACCACAGAGACTCAAATGCTGCAGCTGCAGGCCCAGAAACACTAGGGAGACAGGCAGGGACAAGGAAAGATCCTGTCCTTGAGAGACCTTGACTTCAGACTCCCAGCTTCCAGAACTGTGAGAATAAATTTCTGTTGTTGATTTGAGAGCAAGAAAGAGACAGTGAGAGAACGAGTGGCAGGGAGGAGAGGGGCAGAGGCAGAGGGGGAAGCAGGCTCCCAGCTGAGCAAGAAGCCCAATGTAAGACTCCTTCCCACGACCCTGGGATCATGGCCTGAGCTGACTGAGCCCCCCAGGAGCCCAGAGAATACATTTCTACTGTTTTGTGCCACCAAAGTTTGTGGGACTTTGTGATGGCCGCCCCAGGAAATGGACACAGCACTGAACAGAGAACCAGCATGAACCAGCCTCTGTTGAATGGATCTTAGGAGAAATGACACCCGAATGCTGCCTGACTGGACAGAGGACTCTGTGTTCTGGGCCAGATCAGTCCAGAAACCATTCTTTCTCCCTGTGTCCATCAGAAGCCAGATTTAGTCAAAGTGCTTTCACTTGGAATTTTCCTGTCTGTATTGCAAACATCTAGAGAAAAGATGCAAGTGCCTAGGGCTTTAAAAAACAACACTTTATGGGAATCTTTTCATCCCACACACACGCATTTCAGAAGGCCAAGTGGAGGGTCAGGGACCCACAAAGCTACACACAAACACTGGGTCTCCATGATGTGACCCACTTCAGTGCATCCCTTCCATCTGTGTAATTATCACCCCTCATGCACATCTCTCCAGTGAAAGTGACTGCGTTAACTGGGAAAGTTCTTTGGTAAGAGCTGGTGTCATGCAGAGAGAGGCCCTGTAAGCCTCCGTCTGCTGTCAGCCACATGGCTGTGTGGGATGGCAGGGGCTGATTACCTCGTGCATTCCTCAAAGACGTCCTTGCCGGGGTTCTGCTTCAGTCTCAACCGACATTCTCTCAAAACACGGGCAGGTATTTCTGGTAAAGGGGTTGCCGCCTTTTTGATACAGCACAAACCAAATGCATAATAGTTAGTGATTTCATAATTTACCAGCTATAAACAGAACCTAATGCTTACTGTTAAAAAAAAGTACAACATGGTGCCTGGGTGGCTCAGTGGGTTAAAGCCTCTGCCTTCGGCTCAGGTCATGATCCCAGGGTCCTGGGATCGAGCCCTGCATCAGGTTCTCTGCTCGGTGGGGAACCTGCTTCCTCCTCTCTCTCTGCCTGCCTCTCTGCCTACTTGTGATCTCTGTCTGTCAAATAAATAAATAAAATCTTAAAAAAAAAAAAAAAAAGTACAACATCGAGAGCCTGAAATAAGTCAAAGGGCCACCTTCACCTGCTGCCCTGGTGTCATTTTCCGGAGTTCACTGTGTTGTCTACCTTTTCAGATCTTTTCCTAAGCAAATCGAATCGGAGTGGAAAGCAAGTTTTCCAGGAGATATCTGTACACCATATCCACAGCAGCATTATGCAAAATATCCAAAAGGTGGGAGCAACACAATGGCCCACTGACAGACGAATGGATGAACCCCATGGTCCATCCATGCAGGGGAATGTCATTCAGCTTCAAGGAGGAAGGACGTTCTGACCTGCTACAACACGGATAAACCTTGAGGACATTATGCCTGGTGAAATGAGCCAGCCACAAAAGGACAGATACTATATGATCCCACTTCTATGAGGTCCCTCAAATGGTCAGAATACTAGAGACAGAACATGGAATGGGAAGAGAAAGTGGGAGCTGTGTTTCATAGGGACAGAATTTCAGATCTGTAGGAGAAAGAAAGTTCAGGAGACGGATGGTGGTGAAGGCTGCCCACAACATCAGTATGTGTAATGCCACTGAACTGTGCACTTAGACATGGCTACGATGATCAACTTTATGTCTTTTTTGTTACAATTAAAAATGTAGGGGCACCTGGGTGGCTCAGTGGTTAAACCTCTGCCTTCGGCTCAGGTCATGATCTCAGGGTCCTGGGATCGAGCCCTGCATCTGGCTCTCTGCTCAGTGGGGAGCCTGCTTCCCCCTCTTTCTCTGCCTGCCTCTCTGCCTACTTGTGATCTCTGTCTGTCACATAAATAAATAAAATCTTTTAAAAAAAATGTAAACACAGCCACATGGACACAAACCCTCAGAAACACACAATTTTTTCTCACACAAAGGCGATAAAAATATATACGTAGTTTTGTAAATATGTGCTGCAACTGAGAAAGCTACTATATTTTCCCAAAGACTGCATGGTTTTCCAGAGGATGTGTTTATTTGTCCTTCTGACACATTCTAGTTACCCATTTCCTCCTCTGCAGACACCACTGCTATGCCTATCTTTGTACCATGGTGTTTTTATAAGACAGATTTTTGGAGGTAGAATTACTAGCTCAAAGGATACCTGTCTCTTAAACATTGATATTCCTTGCAAAGCTGACCTCCAAAAAGGCCCTACCACTTCACATTCTCACTAATTATGTCCCTACATGCCAGCTTCCCATTCTCTAAATCCTCAACTAGAAAATTCCAGAGAAAGAAAACACATAACAAAACTTTTTTCCAGAGTTATTGAAAAAGATACCCAGATCATGTTCAATTACACATTTAGTTTGTCATTAGGCATGAGAAATGCATTCTAGACTGATTTCTGGAAGTGGTATAGCTAAGCTAGCACAGCAAAACTGGGTTTTCTACAAATCAAAGAAATACTTTCATCAAAGTTGAACTAGTGATAGAAATATACAATATAGAAAACTCATTTTTAAAAATGAACAATACTGATATAACTATAGCCATTAATAGGTGTCATTTAAATGATCTAACAGAAATGAGGCATTTTTCCATCTTTACTATGTCTGCCTTTGGCTCAGGTCATGATCTCAGGGTCCTGGGATCAAGCCCCGAGTCAGGCTCCCTGCTCAGCGGGGAGCCTGCTTCTCCCTCTGCCCCTCCCCACCCCATGCCCTGCTTGTGCACCCTCTCTCTCAAATAAATAAATAAAATAGTTACTAAAAAATAAAAAAGAAGGAGAGATAAAGATTCACCCAGGCAAACAAAACTAAAGGAGCTTATCACTAAACCAGCCCTGCCAGAAATATTAAAGGTGACTTCAATGGAAAGGAAAACCAAAAAGGATGGTATGAAGGGAGGAAATACAAAAGCAGTAAAAATGAATACTTCTGTAAAAACAGTCAAGGAACTCACAAAATAAAAAGATGTAAATATTACATCATAAACTCAAAATGTGGGAAGGAAAGGAGTAAAGAATGGGTTCAAACTTAAACAACCATGAACTTAATACAGACTGTTATATGACGGTGGTATGTATCGCCCTAATAGGAACCACTAATCAAAAACCACTAATAAATATGCAAAGAATAAAGAGAAGTAAATTCAAATATATCACTAAGGAAAACCAGCAAACTATCAAAGAGAGAAAGACAAGAAAGGATGAGAGAATATCTTCAGAAACAACCAAAAAACAAACAATAAAATGACATTAAGTACAGATCTATCAATAGTTACTTTGAATGTAAATTAACTAAATGCTTTAGTCAAAAAACACAGGGTGACAGAATGGTTGAGAAAAGAAGACCCAACTATATGCTCCCTACAAGGGACCCATTTTAGACCTAAAGACACCAGCCAGGGAAAGTGAGGGGGCAGAGAAACAGCTATCACGCAAAGCCTTGTCAAGAGAAAGCCAGAGCAACAATACTTATCCCAGACAAAACAAACTTTTTTTTTTAAAGATTTTATTTATTTGTTTGACAAACAGGGATCACAAGTAGGCAGAGAAGCAGGCAGAGAGAGAGAGGAGTAAGCAGGCTCCCCGATGAGCAGAGAACCCAATGCGGGGCTTGATCCCAGGACCCTGGGATCGTGACCCGAGCCAAAGGCAGAGGCTCTAACCCACCGAGCCATCCAGGTGTCCCCAAAATAGACTTTAAAACAAAGTCTATAATAAGCTACAAGGAAGGGCATTACATAATAAATAATAAAGGGGCAATCCTATAAGAGAATATAAAAATTGTCAGTATTTATGCATCCAACCTGTAAGCACCCAAGTACATAAAACAGTTAATAACAAATGTAAAGGATCTAATTGATAATAACAGATAATATTAGGGGACTTTAACCCCCCACTTACCTCAATGGACAGATTATCGAAACAGATAATCAACAAGAAAACAACGGCTTTGAATGACACACCGCACCAGACAGATTTAACAGATATATTCAGAACATTCCATCCTCAAAGAGCAGAATACACATTCTTTTCAAGTGCACATGGAACATTCTCCAGAAAAGATCACACGTTAGGTCACAAATAAACCTTCACAAATTTAAAAAGATCAAAGTCATGCTGTGTGTGTATCTTTTCTTGACACAACACTATGAAACTGAAAGTCAACTACAAAAAAAATCTGGGAAGACCACAAATACAAGGAGGTTAAATACCATGCTACTAAACAATGAATGGGTCAACCAGGAAATAAAAGACGAAATAAAAAAGTACATGGAAACATGGGCGCCTGGGTGGCTCAGTGGGTTAAGCCGCTGCCTTCGGCTCAGGTCATGATCTCAGGGTCCTGGGATCGAGTCCCGCATCGGGCTCTCTGCTCGGCAGGGAGCCTGCTTCCCTTCCTCTCTCTCTGCCTGCCTCTCTGCCTACTTGTGATCTCTGTCTGTCAAATAAATAAATAAAATCTTTAAAAAAAAAAAAAAGTACATGGAAACAAATGCAAATGAAAACACAATGGTTCAAAACCTTTGGGATGCAGCAAAATAGCTGTGAGAGAGAAGTTTATAGCAATACAGGCCGACTTCAAAAAGCAAGAAAAATTTCAAATAAATAACCTAACCTTATATCTAGAGGAGTTGGAAAAAGAACAATAAACAAAACCTAAAACCAACAGAAAGAAGGAAATAATAAATATTAGAGCAGAAAGAAACGATACAGAAACTAAAAAACCAATAGAACAGATCAATGAAACCACGAGCTGGTTCTTTGAAAAAAAATCTATAAAGTTGATTAGCCTCTAGCCAGACTCATCAAGGAAAAAGAGATAAAGGATCCAAATAAATAGAATCACAAATAGAGAGGAGAAATACCAACAAAAACCACCAAAGTACAAACAATTCTAAGAGAATATTATGAAAAACTATATGCCAACTAATTGGACAATGTAGAAGAAATGGATAAATTCCTAGAAACATATAAACTACTGAAACTGAAAGAGGAAGAAATAGAAAATCTGAACAGATCAATTATCTGAAAAGAAACTTAATCATTAAAAGAAAAAAAACAAAAAAACAAAAAAAAAAAACCCTCCTAACAAACAAAAGTCCAGGACCAGATGGTTTCACAGGTGAATTCTATCAAACATTTAAAGAAGAATTAATACTTATTCCTTTCAAACTATTCCAAAAACTGGGTAAGGAAGCAAACTTCCAAATTCATTCTATGAGGCCAGTATTACCCTGACACCAAAACCAGATAAAGACACCACAAAAAAAAGAGAACTACAGGCCAACATATCTGATGAACACAGATGCAAAAATCCTCAACAAAATACTGGCAAACCAAATCCAACAATACACTGGAAAAAAAAAAAATTCACAATCATTCACAATCAAGTGGGGTTTATTCCCGTGTTGCACTGTTGGTTCAATATTTGCAAATCAATCAATATGATACATCATATCAACAAGAGAAAGGATAAAAACCAAATGATCATTTCAACAGACACAGAAAAAACATCTGACAAAGTATAACGTCCATTCATGATGAAAGCCCTCAACAAAGTAGGTTTTGAGAGAACACACCCCAACATAATAACGGCCATGTGTGAAAAACTCACACCTAACATCATCCCTAATGAGAAAAACAGAGCTTTTTCTCGGCAGTTAGGAACAAAACAGGGATGTCTACTCTCACAACTTTTATTCAACATAATACTGGAAGTCCTAGCCACAGCAATCAGACAAGAAAAGGAATAAAGGGCATCCAGATTGGTGAAGAAGAAGTAAAACTTCTCCTATTTGCAGATGACATGATGCTACATATAGAAAACCCTAAAGACTCCACCAAAAAGCTACCAGAACTGATAAACTAATTCACTAAAGTTGCAGTATACAAAATCAATATATAGAAACCCATTGCATTTCTATACACCAATAAGAAGCAGCAGAATGGGAAATTAAGAAAACAATCCCATTTATAATTATGCCAAAAATATTAAAATACCTAGGAATAAACTCAACCAGGGACGTGAAAGGTCTGTACTCTGAAAATTTTAAAACACCGAGGAAGAAATTGAAGATGATGCAAACAGATGGAAAGATATTACATGCTCACAGATTTGAAAAACGAGTATTGTTAAAATGTCTATACTACCCCAAGCAATTTAATGCAATCCCTATCAAAATACCAACAGCATTTTTTTTTTTTTTAAAGATTTTATTTATTTATTTGACAGAGAGATCACAAGTAGGCAGAGAGGCAGGCAGAGAGAGAGAGGAGGAAGCAGGCTTCCTGCTGAGCAGAGAGCCCGATGCGGGGCTCGATCCCAGGACTCCGAGATCATGACCTGAGCCGAAGGCAGCGGCTTAACCCACTGAGCCACCCAGGCGCCCCACCAACAGCATTTTTCAAAGAACTAGAATAAACAATCCTAAAATTTAAATGGAACCACAATGACCTTGAATAGCCAAAGCAAATTTGAAAAAGAAAAACAAACCTGGAGGTATCACAATTCCAGATTTTAAGATACATTACAAAGCTATAGTAGTCAAAAAAGTATCGTTACTGCCACAAAAACAGACACACAGATCAACAGAACAGAATAGAAAACCCAGAAATAAACCCACAATTATACGGTCAATTAATCTTCAACAAAGGAGGCAAGAATATGCAATGGGAAAAGATGGTGTTTGGAAAACTGGACCACTTTTTTATACCACACACAAAAATAAACTCAAAATGGATTAAGGACCTAACTGTGAGACCTGAAACCACAAAAATCCCAGAAGAGCAAAGACAGTAATTTTTCTGACATCAGCTGCACCAACTTTTTTCTAGATAATATCTGCTGAGACAAGAGAAGCAAGCAAAAATTAAGTATTGGGACTTTATTAGAATAAAAAGCTTCTGCACAGTGAAGGAACCAACCAACAAAACAAAAAGATAACTGACTGATTAGGAGAAGGTATTTACAAATGACACATCCCAAGAAAGAGTTAGTATCTAACACATATAAAGAACTTCTAAAACTCAATGTCCCAGAGACAAATAATCTGATTATAGACATGCAGAAGAAGACATCCAGATGGCCAGCAGACACATGAAAAGATGCTCAACATCACTCATCATCAGGGAAATTAAAATCAAAACCATAGTGAGATACCACCTCACACCTGTCAGAATAGCTAAAATCAAAAAGACAAGAAACAAGTGTTGGTGAGGATGTGGAGAAAAAGGAACCCTCATGCACTATAGGTGGGAATACAAACTGGTGTGGCCACTGTGGAAGACAGTATGGAGGTTCCTCAAAAAATTAAAAATAGAAATACCATATGATCCAATAATTACACTCCTGGGTACTTACCCAAAGAATATGAGAGCACTAATTCAAAGGGATATAAGTACCCATTTATTGCAGCATTATTTACAATAGCCAAACTATGGAGGCAGCCTAAGGGTCCATTGACTGATGAATGGATAAAGATGTGGTCTATGTATGTATGTATGTATCTATCTATCTAGGAATAGTACACCATAAAAAAGAATGAAACCTTGTCATTTGCAATGAAATGGATGGAGCTAGATAGTGTTATGCTAAGTGAAATAAATCAGACAGAGAAAGACAAATACCATATAATTTCACTCACACATGGAATTAAAAAAATAATAATAAAACAAATGAGCAAAGAAAAAAAAAGAGAGAGACAAACCAAGACATAGACTCTTAACTATGGAAGACAAACTAATGGTCACCAGAGGGAGGTGGGCTGGGGGGGATGGGTGAAATAGGTGATGGGGATAAAGAGGGGCACTTGTGATGAGCACTGGTGATTAAAACTTAAAAAAAAAAAAAGCTCATGGAGAAAATTAAATGTTTCATATTTTGACTAATCAGAATAGAGTTATAAAATAATGTCAATGTCAAAATTATTTTTATGGCAAAAAAGTTTTACTTCTGTTGTCAAAAAAAAAAACCAAAACTATTCAGTGATTTAAATTTAAAAAAATAAAACACAATGGAATTAGGTGAATGAAACATCAACTCCTCCCAGTCACTGGGGGTACCTGCAATTTACGTGAATGCTGTAGCACCTGTGTTGGAAACGATCTAGGAGCCATGGTAGTCTGGTATTGATGCTGGCGGCTAAGGCGAACACAGGCTTTGGAGTCAAAACCTATTTGGTCTGAGGCAAACTCTGACACCACTGGTTGTGCGTTTATCTTTGCGCTCCCTTGCCAACCCACTGGCCTTCCCTGCCCCCCACATTATCTTTTGCACCAGTGAGCTTCCCCTACCATCTTCAGCGAGCTAGGCTCAGAATCTGAACATTTTGGACTCATTCTCACTATGCTATTCTCCAAGCACAATCTCTCCATGTTTGATTCCTGGCTCCCGCACTTAACATGCTGTGAGACCTTTGGTGAGCCATTTAACCACTCTGATTTTCAGTCTTACCTACGACAATGGACATAATAATGAACCCATCTCACAGAACTGTTGTATTAAACAACTCACATGTACACAGCTCAGAGCAGTATTCACTAAAGGTTAGTTATCCTTGTTACTGTTCTCCTCCAACTCTACAACACAGAGGGGCCTGCCCAGGATTTAGGACTTTTAACAGCCTACAAAAGAGAAGTCATGTGAAAGGAAGGAAGTGACAGCTCTCATTTCAGGGACACAGTAAACTGTAAGGATAGTCTACTGAATGAAAAAGCATAAAACCTAAGACCCATTAAAGCTGTTAGGAAAAAAAGGTTATTTTCAGTCCAAGACAAATAAAATTCTCTAATGCTGTTTTCTGTTTGAGGAAACATAGAAACGTTTAGATTCTTTGAATTAATTTTCTAAGAGATTTGTTAATTTCCTCACCAACTCAAAAGAAAATGCATAAGAGGATTATTTATAAGAAATAAAGATTTTAACATACTTGTTATATCTTATCCAACTAAGTAAGAAAGGCAATGTACTCTAATTATTTAAGCAAGCATTAACAAATCTTTGCATCTAAGGAAGAAAACACACCCCGGCATCGAAGAACATGTGTAGAATTTGCAGTCCACAGCTTCTGCGGTCCTCGTCGGCGGCCACTTCGTATTCTGCCTGACGGTAGAGATGAGAACAAAGGTAAATAGTAGTGGAGCTTCTTCACTGACTTCACAGGGTTTCAGATTCTCTGAAATGCGGAATTGGCTGGGTGCCCTAAGAACCACAGAGTAGCTCTAACTGATCTGATACTGACCAAGTGTCTGCAGCTCTTCTTTGGGAAACTAATGGCAAGGAAGGGAAAAGACCATTAAGAGTGAACAGTGCAGTAAAGCAACACATTCCACAGTGCTCTATGGCATATTACACTTTTAGCCCTTAAATGTGGCCAAACAGAACCAAATAAACACCTTGCATTGCTCTAGGCAACAGCATTTTAGAGATGTCCAAGAGGCACGTGGCAGACCTGAGTACAGAGCTCCCAGAGAAGTCAGAGCTGGCAATGCCAAAGCAGGAGACGTCCCTGTGCAGGCGTCAGGCAGGGGATTGTAAGAGACGCTGCTACCACGCAGGCCAGAAGCCAAAGGAAGGGTCAAGGCAGAACTTGATCAATATCTAAACCTCTACAAGAGAACAAGCAAGGAAGAAACTGCAAAGAAAGAAGAGAGAAAGCCTGAGCAGAGATCATAAAAGCCTGGCTAAGAGAATTTCAAGCAGAGACTGCTCCACAATGTCAACAGACTTGGAGACTCAGGCACAAGGAGGCCTCAGGGAAGCCACTGGATCCTGCAGCTCGGGGCTGAGAAGAACAGCAAAGCTAACAGTCAGATGGGCTTGGAGAGATTAGTGAGGAAACCAAGACCGAAGGAAGTTCATGTACTGAACACAGAAAGCCCTTGTGGGCAGGAGTCGTACCTCGTACTTGATTCTGCCTCCTCCACGGGCCCAGCCTGGGAGCCACGGCTGTCAGGCCGTGACCCAGTCAGAGCCAGCTTCTTGTTCTGTGTTCAAGGGCACTGTACTGACCTTGACTAGTAACTAAACCCCGCTGACTTAGAGAACCTTCCAGCTCACGTTCTGGACGCTGGATGGCATGCAATCAACAGAAAAGAAAGCACTGGGATTTTGTGAGGGTCTTTTCACATGCCAACGTGTTAGAAACAATGTCCAGGTGTTCAAATACTCATCTAGTCATTGCTGGGCTCATACTTGTAGGTGTGATTAAAGTCTTTACCAGGTGACTTTAAGTAAAGGAGATTATTTTAGAGAATCTGGGTGGGCCTGATTCAATCAGTTGAAAGGCATTATAACCAGAGCTAAGGCTTCCTGAAGGAATGCTGCCTGAGGAAAGCAGCTTCACTCCATTTTGGGAGGATTCCCTCCTGTCCTATAGATTTAAGACTCTCCTAGCCAGACCTCACAGTCCTGTAAGCCAATTCCTTGCAATAAACCTCTTAATAGGGGCACCTGGGTGGCTCAGTCACTAGGCATCTTCCTTCAGCTCAGGTCATGATCTCGGGGTCCTGGGATTGAGACCCATGTGGGGCTCTCTGCTCAGCAGGCAGCCTGCTTCTCCCTCTCCCATTCCCACAACTTGTGTTCTGTCAAATAAATAAATAAAAACTTAAAAAAAAAACTTAATAAATCTCTCCTATTGGTTGTTTCTCTCACTGAACACTAATTGCCAAAGATGCCATTAATTCAGTTAACAAACACTAAGTGGTAAAGAGCGAACAATCACACTGGGTGCCATGAGGGAACTAGGCAAGATAGCAAGATGCCATCTCTTCACTGCCGAAGCTCCAAGAACCCGCAGTCACCTACCACAAGGACAGTCCAAGCAGCACGAACTGTACAAGTGGCATAACGAGGCATTCTTCACTAACTCACACAGCTGCCATCAAAAACAACACAAAACCGAACAGAACCTGTCATTGCAGTCAACTGGTGGTCACCTAACCATTAATAGGTCTCATGTCACTATCAGGAGATCCAAACCATGGGGCGTCTGGGTGGCTCAGTGGGTTAAAGCCTCTGCCTTTGGCTCGGGACGTGGTCCATGGATCCTGGGATCAAGCCCTGCATCAGGCTCTCTGCTCGGCGGGAGGCCTGCTTCCTCCTCTCTCTCTCTCTGCCTGCCTCTCCACCTACTTGAGATCTCTGTCTGTCAAATAAATAAATAAAATCTTAAAAAAAAAAAAAAGAAGATCCAAACCTGAAGGAACTTTAACAATACAGTTTAGCCATTTTGAAATATAGAGCTGGAGGTCCCTAAATTCTTAAAACATAGCAGCTTGGCAAATAGAACTCAATACACTAGGACATATCTACATTCTACTGGAACTGACAAGGCCTGTCCCACTACACCAGAGTTCTAGCTTAAATTAAAAACAACAACAACAAAAAAAAACAAAAAATGAAAAAAACCTCCTTTCAAAGCTTTGTCTTATTCTAGTAAAGACACCAGGAAGGAAAGGGCTGGGGAGCTGCATGGAGGATAGGCAAGACCCTCAAATGTCCTTCTGAAAGAATACAGGCATACCTCGTTTTATTGCGCTTTGCTTTGTTACTCTTTACAGACAATGCACTTCTTTACAAATCGAAGGTCTGTAACAATGCTCTGGCCAACAAGTCTATTGGTGCCATTTTTCCAAGAGCATTTGTTTATGTCCTGTCTCTGTGTCATAATTTGTAAATTCTCCCAATATTTTAGACCTTTTCATTATTATTATATTCACCTTGGTGATCTGTGATCAGTGATTTTTTATGTTCCTTTTAACTGTTTTGGAGCTACCTGAGCCGCACTCATATAAGGCAGTAAATTTAATAAATATTATGTGTGTTCTGACTGCTCCGCTGACCAGCCCTCCCCCTCTCTTTCCCTCTCCTCAGGCCTCCCCATTCACCAACACACAATATCGCAATTAGGCCAGTTAATAACCCTATGATGGCCTCTAAGGGTGCCTGGGTGGCTCAGTCAGTTCTGCCTTCGGCTCAGGTTGTGATCCCAGGGTCCTGGGATGGAGTCCCACAGGCTCCCTGCTCAGGGGAGTCTCCTTCTTCCTCTGCCCCTCCCCCCCTCATGCTCATGCCCTCTCTCTCATATATTAAAAAAAAAAAAAAAAAAAAAAAACTATACTGTGTTCAAGTGAAAGAAAGTCAATCAATGTTGCAAACTTCCATCTTGTTTTATTTTAAGAAACTGCCACAGACACTCCAACCTTCAGCAACCCCTACCCTGACCAGCCAGCAGCCATCAACATCCAGGCAGGACCCTCCACCAGAAAAAGAGATGATGCCTTGCTGAAAGGTTGAAGCATGGTTAGCATTTTCTAGCAACAGAGTGTTTTTTCAGATTAATGTTATTGTACAGTTAATAGACTATAGTATAGTGTAGACATAACTTTTATATGCAATAGGAAACAAAAAATTCATTTGACATGCTTCATTGCGATATTCGCTTCATTGCCGTGGTCTGGACATAGACCCGCAATATCTGAGTGTGCCTGCACTGACCACAGGACGGAAGGCAGACCATCTGCTTCCAGACTCCAGCTGACCTCAGTTAACTGAAAGCACAGAAAGCAAAAACCGCAGATATGGAGATGTATCATATAAGGACTTCCATACCGAGGTAACATGACACCAAAAAACCAGTTTTTCTACTCTTACTGTCATTGCCAAGGTCTACTGAACTTAGAGAGACCTAATTTTTCAGATCTAGTATGTTAATTTTCACAAGCACAAGAATGGGTAGTTCAACACAGAGCTAAATTGCTTACCACTGCATCCAGGAATTCAATGCATCCCTTTAGATCTTGCTGTATATCACAGAATTGCCTGAAGAGAAGTCTTCCTATTGGTTGCTTGTCACAAAGACTGCTATAATCCTTTTCTAGGTGAGGAAAGGAGATAAGAAATAAACCAATATGATCATTACAATTCAGAAAGTTTTTTCTGAACTGCTGTTTTCACCTGATAAAAAAAAAGTCAAAAATAGTATTTGTGGGGTTTTTTTTGAAACTACTCATTTGTTTACTAATGTAGACTGGGTCATCATGAATGTTTATAAAATCTGGACAGAGCCAAAGGAGCTGGAAGAATTGATAAAGAGGGGCACCTGTGTGGCTCAGTGGGTTAAAGCCTCTGCCTTCGGCTCAGGTCATGATCCCAGGGTCCTGGGATTGAGCCCTGCATCAGGCTCTCTGCTCAGCCGGGAGCCTACTTCCTCCTCTCTCTCTCTGCCTGCCTCTCCACCTACTTGTGATCTCTCTCCGTCAAATAAATAAATAAAATCTTAAAAAAAAAAAAAAAGAATTGATAAAGAAAGGTGTGTGACGCGTAATTGGAAATATCCCTGCTGCTCTCCAAAAGGAATTACACAGGGGAGCAGTACTCCTGGGGAACTGAGCAGTCAAGGTCACAGCAGAGAGACGGGCAGAGAAGAGATCTGGCTCCATCCTCCCATAGGTCTGTTCCCACCCCACAGTGTGTTTGGCCCAAACTGCAGGTATGTGAAATACACCACAAGAATGTACTTAAGTACATTTTTAGAAACTCTTTTCAATTTTGCTACATTTTTACCAGTTACAAACATTACATATGCTTAATTATTTTAAAACAGCTCTTGGGATTTTTTTTTTCTTTTCAGTGGGGCAATATGTTATAAACCTTAACCTTACCACACACACTCAAAATAGGTTTATTTAAACAGCAAGAAAAACAGTTTTTCTTTTAGCAGTATTGAAGTACTCCTATAGTGGCTGTTAAGCTTAAGAATTAAATAAAAATTAATGAAAAGTAAGGAAGCCATAACAAATTCCTCAATTAAAGGGTTTAACCATGCCAAGTCGTTCTAAGACTCTAAATAATCCTACTTTAGGTGGCTGAGACTCCAAATGAAAAAGTATAGGCAAGGAGAGAAATACTTTGGTTGCCAGTGCACAATTGCTTGTTTCAACAAACAACAGTTTTGCAAAATATCTACCACCCACTTTGCCCAATTTTACTAGCACATTTTATTTTAGGGATACTATATTTAAAAAAAAAAGACATAGGCAGTGAAAAATTTACATTTTTATAATACTGAGAGTTTTTAACACTTTCCTCCCAAATTCAAGGGTTCGGGAATGTTCCTAGTTTCCAGCTAAGGATTGCAAATGGAGCATACAGGTCTGCCTAGTTTTTCTCCTGGATTCCTAAGAATATGACCAAAAATTCAAACAAAAACCAAAGCCACAACAAAAAGAACGAAACCCAACATGGAAAACGAACACAGAGTATCCACAGGAGTCCAAAATTTGTGGATAATCTGAAAGAAAGCTGCTCCGTTGGATTTGTTGAAGAACCCTCAGTTTAAACCCTACAGACAGTCGGGACTTCCTAAAGGAACCCCGCCCACACGCCCCCAGCCCGGCTTGGAGCCCCGCCCACTCGCTAGAGCTGGGAGGAGCGGAGGGGGGGCCCGGGGGCGGGGCCGGGGGCTTGGGGAGCTGTCCCAGTCCTGATCAGAATGACTGGCTAGGCGCCCAAGATTTAGAGGCCCCACGAAACGCTACACATAACCACTGACAGCCGACCCACATCCAGGGGCAGCCCCGTGATACTCCCAACAGTAAGGAGAAACGAGGAAACCTCTGAGAAAGAGTTAAATGTTAGCTATTAGACCTAAAGCATCAGCGACACTGTACTAACACAGCCAGAAACTAGTACACCAATGTTTTCAAAGTACAGGGATCAAGGGAGGTGGAAATATTCTGTAACACAATTCAATATTCTGTAATTATCAAACAAGAAGTCAAAAAAGGGACATTTTCCAAAATTTAAGAACTCAAAACTTTACCTTCCATTCACCCTATTTAAAAAAAGAATTACAAAAAAATTACTTATGGAGTTTTAATAATAAAACAAGAGAAACTAAAAAAAAATAGAAACCAAAAATGACAAACAGTGGGTATGATACAGAAGAAGCAAGGAAATATAGAAAAATAAATAACCCTATCAAAATATTGGGAATACTATCCTTGGCAAAGTGTGAGCAGTGCAGAATAGTTGCCTTTTATTGGCTCCAACAACACTTGCTCGTTTCCAGATCACATATAATTATGGAATGATATGGAATATAATTATAATATATGCTACTGTACCATATTTTAATTCTTTTTTTTTTTTTAAGATTTTATTTATTTGACAGAGATCACAAGCAGGCAGAGAGGCAGGCAGAAAGAGGAGGGGGGAAGCAGGCTCACTGCTGAGCAGAGAGCCCGATGCGGGGCTCGATCCCAGGACCCTGAGATCATGACCTGAGCTGAAGGCAGAGGCTTCAACCCACTGAGCCACCCAGGCGCCCCCCATATTTTAATTCTTAAAATAGTCTGTGAACCAAGAGATATGGAAGGTAAGCGATTGACCCAACAAGTATGGCTGAAAAAGGGAACTCGGGGAAGCAAAATATAGAGGCAAATTAAGCTTTACAAAACAGCAGAAAAAGAAAAAAAAGACTGAGATTGTATATTCCACAAGCCTTGATATCATACCAAGACTTCCCTCTACCCTAGAAGGAACAGAGATGAGCATAACAGTTAGTGGTGACAATTCTTCACGTGTGTCAGGTACTATTTTGAGTCCTTTCTATATATCATTTCATGGACTCTTCACAAAAGTAAGTTTAGCATCTTAAGGAAAGCAGAGACCTTTTGGGAAGTGCTTACTCCTGAGAGCTACCTAGGTCCCAGGGCAGTGGAGGCGAAGTGGGGCAATGGGACCAACCATCAGTAAGAGGAGCCAGACAGGAACAAAGGCAGCAGAGTGGGAAGAGAGAAGCCAATTCTCTGGTAACAAAAGAATTTCAGAAGGCAACTCATTCAACTTCTGTCAAGTCTCCCCCTTAACAGTGAGGACATGACGACAGAACCACAGGAGCCCTACTCTCAAGGAACCCATCCTTTACTGAGGGGACAATGAGGAAGCTGATGGGGTAAACAGGTAGAAGGCAGTACCCTTCATGGAGATGAGAACCTGTGAGCAGAACAGTCCCAGACTCTGGTTCATATAGTGGGCACCAAGATCTGTATGGTGTAGGCAGCACTGGGGAAATCGAGATCATTCGCTGGTAGAGAAACAGGAAGAGAGGCCAGTTGCGCCCCGTGAGCAGAGGTAGGGGCTGCAAAGCAGGTGGCCAAAGTTACATCAATGGGGTGGGAGACCTCTTTGAGATTTCTCAACCTGGGTTGAGGAATTGCTCCACAGCCCAGGAGATCTGGGGAAGGACGCCACAGCAGGAGTCAGGAGGGAACAGCCTGGCCAGGGAGAAAACAGTGTACTCCAAATTAACCTGGCTAATTTGGCAAACCAAATGTCCGAAGTTTAAGTTTATTTGGGGTATGTGGAGTGGGGGTAGCTGTGGGTATATTTTAGTTTGTTTTGCATTTTATATTTATATCATCCTCAGATACTAAAAAAATATTTGCTTATTAGAGATGGATTCCATTCAAGCTTTTCCAGATTTATTTCTTGATCACCCTTAATTTCATCCAGAACTCTTAATGGCTAAATCTGAATCCTTACTTTAAAGGAAGCTACAAGTCTTAATTTAGGTGCAAGCAGGAAGAATGTAAGGTTATTTGTGCATTTTAAGTCTATATCCTAAAGCTCAGATACTATGTAAATTTCTGTCATAACTGTAAAATCTCTTGAGTAAATGATCACATGATGTAAGCCACATTTTCTGAAAGAGCTTTAAAAACAGAAACACAGGTTAAGAGCCCCTTAGGTTTTTCCAGAAGGAAGCAAGGCAAAATCAAAGAGCATGAGGAGGTCTGAGACAAGACCAGGTCACATGGCACATACCTCACATTCCTCTGGAAAATGAGACCGCTGCCCACAGCGCCAGATCAGTGAAGGAAATGAAGGGCCTCAGCACACCACCTGGCTGAGAAGGCCCAATCAATAGGAGTTTGACCTTAAGGACAAGATGGTCCTGTGGTGTGATGGGAAGACAACGGGGACATTCAGACTGGACACAGCACTGATACAGGCACCTCACAAGAAAACCTCTCATGTTACCCAGTCCGGTTTTTTTAGATTGGCTCAGGTACAAGAACAAAAATGGTGCATGGTTCAAAAACACCTTAATTCCAAAATCTTCCACTTATATTTGGGTGGTGGGAATATAAGTGATAATTTACTCAGTAAAGTCCTTTAATTATTTCAAAATATTTCATGACACATACAATCTTCCCCATCCTATAGCAACTTCAAATTTTCACACTGATGACATTAACAGAATCTTAGAGCAATGACAGCAACATCACGGAACCTATACGAAGTCATATAATCAGGGAATTTTTAAAATGTTTCTCTAAATCAGTCTTTAAAAATCTGACATTTAGGGGCAACTAGGTGGCCCAGTGGGTTAAGTCTCTGCCTTCGGCTCAGGTCAGGATCTCAGGGTCCTGGGATGGAGCCCCACATCGGGCTCTCTGCTCAGCAGGGAGCCTGCTTCCCTCTCTCTCTTCCTGCTTCTCTGCCTTCTTGTGATCTCTCTCTCTGTCAAATAAATAAATAAAATTAAAAAAATAAAAATCTGACATTTAAATAATCACAAAAACTTCAAAGCTCTTGCTTTTTTACCTTATCTGCCTCACAATTCTATTAATGATTTCACTTTTCCACGCATTAGATTTCTTATATTACTAAAATTAAATACTATAAACCAGAGATATGTGTCACAAAATACATCTCAGGGGCACCTGGGTGGCTCAGTGGGTTAAGCCTCTGCCTTCAGCTCAGGTCATGATCTCAGGGTCCTGGGATCGAGCCCCACATCAGGCTCTCTGCTCAGTGGGGAGCCTGCTTCCCCCCTCTCTCTCTGCCTGCCTCTCTGCCTCCTTGTGA